CTCATCTTTGACAAAGGAGCCAAACACCCTCACTAGAGGAAAGATAGTCTCTTTAATAAATAATGCTGGATAAATTGGGTTTCAACTTGCCAAAGACCCAAACTAGACCTATATCTCTCACCATGCACTAATTTAAAATCAAAATAGGTTAATGATCTAAATATAAAAACAGAAACGCTGAACCGGCTGGAAGAGAGGTTAGGTAGAACTCTTCAAGACTTTGGGGTAGGAAAAGACTTTATGAGCAAAACCTCAGTTGCCCGTGAACTAGCACAAACAATCAACAAGTGAGATCTCTTTTTACTAAAAAGCTTCTGCACAGCAAGAGAAACCATCAGCAGTGTGAAGAAACAACCCACAGCATGGGAAAAAATTTTCACCAGCGGTCCCTCAGACAAAGGTCTACTATCTCGAATCTATAAAGAACTTAAAAAAATCATACCTCCCCAATTTAAAAACCCAATTCAACAATGGGCATCTGAAATGAGCAGACATTTCTCAGACAAAGAAGTAAAAGCAGCAAATAAATATATGAAAAAATGTTCAATATATGAAAAAATGAATCACTGGTCATTCGAGAGATGCAGATGAAAATAACACTGAGATTCCACCTCACCCCACAAAGAATGGCTGCTATCAAGAAATCAACCAGTAACAAATGTTGGCGGGGGTGTGGAGAGAAAGGAACCCTTCTCCATTGTTGGTAGGAGTGCAGACTGGTGCAACCATTATGGAAATCAGCTTCTTTTTAATTAAAAATATTTTAAGACATCATGTCACTAAGTTGCCCAGGCTGGGCTTGAACTTTCAATCCTCCTGCCCCTGTGTCCCAGAGTGCTGAGTTTACAGCCACGTGTCATCATGCCCAGGTCAAGCTAATTATAAATAAAAGACTGCACAGTAGTAAGAACCCCGAATGAACTCAAAGTAATATTCATATCTTTAAAATGAAAGGAGTAATCTTTTTGGGATATCCCACTAAATTCTAATAATATTTGCAGAAATAAGTAATACTCACAGATATTGAGCTGTCGTGTGAAGCTGGCTATATTGCTATGTTTGAAGTATTTTGGAAGCACTGTTTTGGCAAAGATTTGTTCATTTATAATGCAAAAGCTTTGACCATTCTAGAAAGAGGGAAGACAAAAAGACAAAAGGGTAGTTATTTACAGAAAAAGTGAAGTTTAAGCAAAGCAACAATTCAACAACAATGTATCAGGAACCAAAAAGCTGAATGATTTGTGAAAATGTAAAGCCAAAAATTATTATTAAAACATTGAGGCTGCATAATGCAAAAAGCCTCAGCATCCAAACATAATCATTAAAGTTTTAAAGAACTTCCAAGATATGGTTAGAAATATATACACTGAAATATTTTAACATACATACATACAGATTCACACACACACACACACACACACACACACATATATATATATAAGCACGAAAATGAGATTTTACTAAAGTCGACTTCAGTAGGATAATGATAAATATATTGTTCTGCAAATCTTATTTCTATGCTAAAAGTATAAAGAAAATCAAAATATCTCTTTTCAGAAATAACCAGTGTTTTACATTTTTGTATATTTACTTAAGTCTCTATTTCATAAATTTTCTGCAATAAATATATATTGTATTTATAAATTTATTTTTTGGTACTAAAACTATCTTTATTCTGTATTGCTCTATAACTTTTACACCACACTTTGAAATACTTAGGGTACATATTAGTAAATAAAGCAATCTTGGTAGAGGAAGTACATTTAATAAATTAAACATCAGTCTAAGATAGCAGGACAAGCTGTAACCAAAGAGTTGAGAAACACCCAAGTAGCTACTCTTTTAAGTCACATTCTCAGGTTCTGGGGCCATTTAATAAATGGCAGCCAAAAAATGCCAGTAAAAGTTTCTATATTTTCAAGTATAAGCAAAATGGAGATTTGCTTTGCAGTATATAAAGTGCTAATTTTAATAGATCCAGTAAAATAGAGAATATACAAGAAAGATCATTAATAGAATAGTCTCTCAAATCAAATTAATGTTAGAACAGTTTACAGCATTGTATTGCTAGTGTTTTAAATCTGTGGAACATCTAACTACTTGCATCACTATTTTGAACTTCATAGAAAACCCAGTATGTATAATATCAAGAGCTTACTATCATAAGAACCATTTCCTCCAATATTTATCATTTTTGTATGTTGGGAATTTTTTGACTATTCTACTTATTTAAAAATATATCATAAACTTTAATAGATCATAATTACCCTCTTGTGCTAGAGAATAGTAGAACTTATTCCTCCTAACTTGCAAAACCTCTAATCACCCACATTCTAATTTCTAGTGACTGTTACTGTACTGTCATCTATGAGATCAACATTTTAGCTTCCACAAATAAATAAGAACATGTGGTATTTTTCCTTATGGGTCTGGCTTACTTCACTTAATACAATGTGAAGCAACAATAATTCTTAAGATGGGTGAACTCAAAGATCAACAGTTTTTGCAGTATTATACTAACTTGCTCACTATGCAATCTTTCAGAAGCAATAGCTCTTAACTCAGAAATGCACAAAGTGGCACTCTGTCCCACCCTACTGATCCCAGATAGTATTAAAAAAAATATTTCTAGGTCCTCTCTGAGTTCAACCCTAGCAATATAGCTGTACATATCCAAATCCAGTAACTTGGGTACACAGCCTGCTTACTACCTATGTATTGGAATGAAAATAGTGTATTGCTTTTCATGGAGTTAGACCTGGGCTCAATGTTCCTTTCACAACAATAATAAAGAGGATCATACCATCCACTGGGCCAGGCTGAAATGATATTTCAATGATATCTGCCTCCCTATGGCAATGCCAAATGCCCCCCTCCCACTAAAAATAAACTAAAAGCATGAAATAATGTATAAACGTATTTCCTAAACTTGCAGCTTAGTTTAGAGACAGGATAGACATCTTCTAGTTTTATTCTATGTAGATAACCTAAAAAATTCAAATTCATTAAATTAGCATTTTATTCTACCTTTCAAGCTCGTGCTAGTACACTCAGCAAGAAATCTTGATTAGAGTCATTTGTTACAGATTCTAGGGTTAGTAACTGATAGAATGAAGGAGATATACATTTGTGTATAAAAGTGTCTTTAGGGACTGATCGAGTAAGGTTTTTATGGTGCTATGAAAAACACAGTTTGGTTTTTCATAGATAGCCTTAATCAGGTTGAGACAAAGACCTTCTATTCCAATTTTCTGTAGGATTTTTATCATGAATGGGTGTTGGATTTTGTTGAATGCCTTTTCTGCACCTATTGAGATGATCATATGGTTTTGTCTTTGACTCTGTTAATATAGTGTATTACATTTATTGATTTATATATGTTGAACCACCCTTGCATCCCTGAGATAAATCCGACTTGGTCAGGGTATATGATCTTCTTGTTGAGGATTTTTGCATCCATGTTCATTAGGGATATTAGCCTGTAGTTCTCTTTTTGGGTTGTGCCTTTCCTTGGTTTTGGAATCAAAGTAACACTCACTTCCAGGAATGGATTTGGAAGTATTGCTTCCCTTTCAATTTCAATTCAATTTCAATGTCAATGTACTGACATATAAAGAACTATGGCCATTACTCTTTAAACTCATCAAGGAAATTGAAAAAAAAATCGAACACCCATTCATGATAAAAATGCTACAGAAAATTGGAATAGAAGGTCTTTATCACAACCGGATCAAGGCTATTTATGAAAAACCAACAGCCAACAACATACTTAATGGTCAAAACTGAAAACTTTCACCCTAAAATCATGAACAAGACAAGGATGCCCACTATCACCACTCCTGTTCAATATAGTTCTGGAAACAGTAGCCACAGCAAGTAGAAATGAGAAAGAAATAAAAGGAATAAAGACAGGAAAGGAAGAAGTTAAAACTCTCATTATTTGCTAATGATATGATACTTTACATAGAAGACCCAAAAAACTCTGTCAAAAGTCTTCTAGACCTCACTGACAGATTCAGTAGAGTAGCTGGACATAAGGACAACACTCAACAAACAATACCCTTGCTATACACAAATAGCAAACTCATTGAGAGAGAAATTTGGGAAACAATTCACAGAACTAGAGAAAACAATCCAAAAATTCATTTGGAACTAGAAGAGACCTAGAATAGCAAAAGCAATTCTAGGCAACAGAAACATGGCTGGGGGTATCACAATCCCCAACTTGAAACTATACTACAAATCTACTGTGATAAAAACAGCATGGTTCTGGCAAAGAAACAGACCCAAGAATCAGTGGAATAGATTAGACGATGCAGAAACAACTCCAGACATACTCAGCCACCTCATCTTTGATAAAGGAGCCAACCACCCTTACTGGAGGAAAGATAGCCTATTTAATAAATGATGTTGGAAAAACTGGATTTCAACTGCCAAAGATTAAAACTAGACCCATATCTATCACCATGCACTAAACTAAGATCAAAGTGGATTAAAGATCTAAATATTAAAACAGAAACACTAATCTT